ACACACACACACACACACACACACACACACACACACACACACCACTCATCACATGCATATGACAGCTTAATTTCATGTCATATTACAGATAGATGTTTATGTAAGAGTGTAGAGGTGGAATTAAATAGGTTCCCTACCAGAAGCGAGGTATATTTTATAGGCATAATAATTCTAACAGAACGTAGCCTCTCTCCTCCGAATCTTGGTCAGAATAATCTAAACACACCAGTGGTCTCTCTTGTTTAGAGAGTTCATTAGTCTTACTGTAACTACTGGAGACACTGAAATACATACGTTTCGTGCCCAGAAACACCAAGTAGTCAGTAGTTCCCTTCTTCTTCGGATAATTTATGTAATAATAAAAGCTCACACTTTGCATTATATAAAGTTCTTTCGTTCTCTCCAGAGAAGAGCAAAATTAGAGTTTCTTACTTTGAAGAAATAGGATGGTAACGGTTCCATGTATTTACTGTCGGTGAGATACCAGTTCTTTCTGTATTTAATTTATTTCTGATGCCATAGTTGCCAGTCATCTGTCCGCCTGATTACAGCCAGACAGTGCCGAGCGTCCGGGCCTGTCTGATCAAGTCCATTGCTCCCGGGCGGGCGTCCGCCATGGCGCCTGTGTGAGGCGATAAGGACACAGGCGGCCACCCGCACACGTTCCCCCCCATTCATTTGTACTTAGGAAGAGCTTGCGTCACTTGCTTTTATTGTGGATAGTTAATGCAATCATAAAGGAGACTTTTAAAACAATTTTACTTTTAGCTAATGAGTTTCAGGTGCATTAATATAACAAGTATGAATTCTGCTAATCAAGATCTGAAACCAAGGTTTAAAATTCAGTGAGTCTGACCACTGACTGGACCCACCCACCTCTCTGCTGGTTTGTATTGGCCGGTCTGCCTCATGGCCCCGTCTGGCCAGCCTCCCTTTGTTGACCTTCCTTTATTTCGCTTCATTTCCACCAATATTTATCGAGCTCCCCCTTGGCCGGGCTCTGGGCAGGGCAGTGAGCGCTGGAGCGCCGGCCGGGAGGGGTTCCCAGGAGCCGTCTGGGAAAAGGACCCACTTCCTGGGGGTCAGGCGATTAAACAACGGGGGGAGAATGTCCCTTTGGCATGAAGCCGGCTTTCTCTTCTAAAAGGGAACCAAGCTCAGTTCCCTGACATGAGTTAGCTTGTTTTTGTTCCTACTTAGGTTTAAATGGGGAGTTTCCTTTTCCAAATTCTCTTCAGAGCTGACGTGCTTTACCCATCATATCAGTCATCTGCGTGAGCTTCAGGGCTTGGAAATGCAGTCCCGACAGGGGGGGGGCGGCTGACTGGTTTCCAGCAGAGCACGCTGTGCCCGAAGCTTACCGGGTGTTCAGTGGTGCAAGCAACAGGTGCTGATCTGTCGCCTTTTCCACTGCCGTGTGTCAGGTGCTGCGGTTAATCAAACGCTTTCCTTTTCGAGCCAGTTTTCCATCCCCTCTTCCACGTTTTGGTATAAAATTACATGAGCTCTGTAACTTGCAAAGGGTTAGGCCCGAACAGCTAAACCGTTGAGACAACTGCAGTTCATAGCACACGGGTAAATTTAGAAAGTTGCAGCGGTCACGGTTGTATCCACCGAGGAGAAAGTGATCGCTCAGCTGTGCCCTGGTTCGAGGGGCCCCATCAGCTGCTCAGAGTCAGGGTGCCAGTATTCTGAGCTCAGGAGAAACTTCCTGTCCATAATTCTGTTGTAGTCTCACTGATATGTGCACACATGCACATGCATACACACATGCACACACGCACATGCACATGCTGCACACACACATGCACACACACGTGTGCACACACACGCGCGCGCGCGCACCAGAAGGCCTCCACTGGTGGCACAGAGTTCTGGGCTCTTATTATTCCTGGAGAATTAGAAGGTTGTCTTAGGATGCAAAATGGCATTAGGAAGGGATGCATTCTGATTCTGTGTTATTCTGGAGTGGATTTAATGTCACAGAACTGAAGTGCTCCTCAAAAAAGTGAAAACAAAAATTTTGAGCTGAGTAATGGGTGCATTTGCTCTAAATTGTTTTTTTTTTTCCTGAAAAAGGTGCTGTGCATTCAGAATTGTTTTAAACAAGTGGCGGCAGGTGGTCGGGTTGTTGGGCTGTGAGTGGTTGGGCCCCGGGCAGCCCTCTGGCCGCACTCCAGGCTGGAGATGGACGCCCTTCTCTGTCCGTGGGCATCCTTGCGGCCGGACGGTCAGCAGGGCGAGGGCGTATCACGGGGACGGGGGACGACGGGCGAATCCTCTAATGGTTGGTTGTGCTGCCAAGAGGCATGTGCCGCTTCCATCGCAGACTGTGTGTTTGTAGTCATGAGTGAGTCATTTAAAGAAGCCATCGGCTTCCCGCGTGTGCAGCCCTGGGGCACGGCCAGCACCTCATGTGGGTGTCGCTTCTGCCCCAGTGCTGTC